CTCGAGGTCGGATGGAGGAGGTGCAATTCGTGGACGCTTTGGACGAAGCGTTCGGGATGGGCGGACTTGGCGAAGCAACGTACGAATACGTATGCGACGTCACGAGCGACGTCAAATGTCGTCGACGAAGCCGGCATGCCAGCGCGGGTGTTTGAAGCCAACGCGTGTTTGGCCAAGTTTGGACGAACTCATGACGACTTCGACCTGCATGTCGTGTGGATGTTGAATGCCGTGGCCACGATGACGATGGTGGCCGCTGATGGGCGAGGGTTCACGCGCTACAAAGACCGCATGCGCGAAGGCAATCCAGGTTGTGTGCTCGACGTGGGGCACGTCGACTGTGTGAGGGCGAGACGTTGTTGGAGTACATTACCGTGTTCGTGTACTCGTTGTTGCGACCAAACGCGGGTCGGCAAAAGAATCCGCGTGTGGGATGGCCGACGACTGTGGGGGCCTTGGCCGGGCCTTTGGCTGATTTTGCTTTGACCCGTCGATCGATTTACGGGCGACTATCCGCCGAGCTTGTCGCGCGGATCGCTGTTCGCACAGGAACGCGGCGTGAACGCGAGGTAAGTTGGAGCGGACCTCGGCTTCTGGCAACCATCGCGTAGATGAACCGTCTGCGACGGCTAGCTGTCGTCCGCCCTTCGTCCATTTCGACTGCACCACCCGTGGTGCGGTCGAGTGTAGTGTCAACGACGACGTGGGTGGCGCCGTCGATTTCGCGAGCAGGGGTGGTGGGAGCGTCTCCCCTACCAACGGGAAGGACGCGGAATCTCCCAGAGGATCCGCGGCTGGTTGGGCGGCAAGAGTCGGGTCGGTCGATGGTGCTGGATCGCGACCGTGGGTATGGGGGAATGAAGGCGGAACCTGCTGCGGCGGCGCCGGTGCAAGGCCAACGTCCAATACTGCCGGCGTTTCGGATGGAGCGCGCCCGCCTGAGGGCGGAGGCGATGGAGTGGCGGGAAAACCTGGAAGAGCGTCAGGTGCCAGCGCACATCGTGGCACCGTCGCCTCCGGCCGAAGAGCAGCGTCCGGCGGAAGAAAACGACCAAGGGGAGGGGTAGAGGGCCACAGGAGTGAAGGGCGCGTCGTCTGGCGTCGTAGGAGGTGCAGGTGTGGGCGCATGGTAACGTTTAAGTTTGCCGACGTAAAAGGTCCGGTGCACGTTCCAATCGGGGGGAAGTTCGAGTTGGTAGGAAGTCGAACTCACGGCACCAAGAACGGCAAACGGGCCGTGTCAAGTGGAACGTAGTTTGACATTCGCGCCGGCTCCAGGGGCGCGTGCACGAAAGGCGTGATCGGGTAGGGCCAATTTGTGCAGGAGTACAAGATCGCCGACAGAAAAGGTCGCCAAATTGGAACGACCACGGTGGTCGGATTGCGTCGCCTGCCGCTGCTGAGCGAGCGCGAGGTTGTCCTTGATCTGTTGCAACACGGATTGACGATGGGTAAGGAAGTCCGTCAAGTCCTGGACGGACCGCGCTGGACGGTCGCGGGTGGCGGCGATGGCTTCGATCGCCGGAAAAAGAGCAGGAAGCATATTTCCTCCTGAAACGGGGCTGTCGAGGAGTTGAGGGATACGAGGGTGCTGGAAATGGACAGCATAGTGGGGGGAGACGCCCGTAGAAGCTTGAACGGACGTGTTGTACGCAAAGACGGCGTGGGGAAGGAGCGTGGCCCATGAGGCAGAAGGTTGTCGACAGAGTACGCGCGCAATATATCCTCAAGCGCGCGGTTGGCACGCTCGGTCTGACCATCCGACTCGGGGTGGTCGGTAGTAGACATGGTCAGGTCGGTGCCACAGAGCTCGAACAGAGCCAACCAAAAGTGGGATGTGAAACGGGGATCGCGGTCCGGACTTCCGCAGTCCACCGACTGCGGAAGTCCAAAGCGACAGAAGACATGATCGAAGAAAAGGCGAGCGGCGTCAACGCTGCTGATGGACTCTTTGACAGGGACGGCCACGATGTACTTGGACGTCCTGTCAACGAAAACCATGATACCTGTGTGACCACGAGCGTCACGCGGGAGACCAAACATAAAGTCCATGCTGACCGATGACCAGAGCTCATCGGGAATTGGTAAAGGCTGCAGTGGCGCCTGAGAGGAAGACGCGACCTTGGTGCGTTGGCAAGCGTCGCAACGAGCGACGTAGCGGGCGACAGCTTTGTATTGGCGAGGCCACCAATACGAACGGGACAACGCAGCGTACATCTTGTCGCGGCCGAAATGGCCGCCACTGGGTGAATCATGATACGCGCGCAGTAGGGAGGCACGAATCGCAGAATCCCTAGGGACAACGATGCGCGGAGGCGTGTCCTGGGTGGGCTGGAAGTAAAGTAGGCCATCGCGAACGGAGTAAGGATGGAGTAAGGATGGTGATCGCCGAGGCTTGAGCGGCTCGGGAGTGGTGTGGTCACTAAACACAGCCGAGCAACTTGCGTCGATGGAGTAGGCGGCTCGGATGCGGTCATGGAGATCGGAGTGGAGGAATCCGATCGAGGCAAGGTCCACAGACGAGGAGTAATCTGGACGCCGAGAGAGCGCGTCAGCCAAAACATTGTCCTTTCCCGGTTTGTATTGAACCGATAAATTGTATTCGGCGAAGAAGGAAAGCCAGCCAGCCATGCGGGCTGACTTGTGGGGTGTGTTGACGGCAGTTCGCAACGACGCGTGATCGGTGTATACGACAAAGGGGTCCGCGCCGATGAGGTAGACGCGGAACTTGGTGAGGGCGTATTTGATCGAAAGGAGCTCGAGATCATGAACGGAATACGAGCGCTCGGTGGCATGCAACTGGCGACTTTGAAAGGATATAGGACGCCAGCGACCATCAGCGTTAGGTTGCATCAAGCAACATCCGATGACAAATTGGGAAGCGTCACACACGACGCTGAACGGCTTGGAAACGTCAGGGAGCGCCAAAATTGGGGCGCACTTGATACTAGATTTGAGGACGTCGAAGGCTGATTGACAGTCGCTCGACCAAACCCATGGGGCATCCTTGACTAGCAGCGAAAGAGGGGTTGCGCGATGTCGGCAAAACCACGAGAATACTTGTGGAGGTAAGTAGCCAAGCCAAGCCACCGGCGAAGGTCAGTAACCGAGGAGGGTACTGGCCAGTCGATGATAGTCTTGACTTTGTCGGGGTCAGCCCGACAACTACGAATGCCGACGAGGTCGCCAAGGACAGGGATTTCGTCGACCCCAAACAGACATTTGGAGAGGTTGGCATACAAGCCATTCTCAGGAAGGACGGTGAGAACTGCGCGAGGATGCCGACGGTGAACTTCGACGTCGGTCTAGGTTTCAGATCCGCGACTGTGAATGTAGATGTCGTCGAAATAGGACGGGGCAAAGTCGCGAAGAGGGCGGAACTTGGCCGTCACCATGCGATTGAACGTCGCAGGGGCATTGGATAGGCCTTGGGGCATCACGAGCCGTTCCCAAAGCATTCCGCTTGGTGTCGAGACGGCGGGCTTCGGCAATTCACAAAGGCGCATCAGAATTTGATAAAATCCATCGCGCAGGTCGATGGTCGAGAATATGGTGGATCGACACATGCCGTCGATAATC